CGCGCTGCCGGTTTAGTCTTTTTCCGCACAAAAAGACACCAGAGTTCGATTCTGGGGTATTCTATCCTGAAACCTAAGCAAGGATAAGTCTGCGCTTAACCTGCGCTGCCGGTTAGTTCTTAACCGTTAAAAAGAACACCCGTCCACATATTCAACATTGTGGCAGGTCGTCATTAATAACACCAAAATCCATGCCTTACACGCATGGGGAATTTCATCCTGAATCCTAAGAAAGGATATGCCGACGCCTAACACGCGTCGCCGGTTTAGTCTTTTTCCGAACAAAAAGACACCAGAGTCCGATTCTGGGGTATTTTATCCCGAAGCCTAAGGAGGGATAAGTCAACGTTTAATACACGTTGCTGGGTAGCCTATTCCCATGACAACGGCGAAGTCTATGTATTCAAAGTCATAGCAACAAGTCTTAGAGGATTCAGTCTCTAAGCACAACGTTACATGCGGAACGGATTTAGACAATTCGCATGCTAGCCTAAGCAGGGATAAGTCAACGCCTAACACGCGTTGCCGGTTTAGTCTTTTACCGATTAAAGAAGACACCAGAATCCGAGTCTGGGGATTTTTATCCTGAATCCTAAGTAAGGATAAGTCAGCGCCTAACACGCGTTGCCGGGTAGTCTATTCCCGTGAGAAAGACGAAGTCTACGTATTCAATGTCGTAGCACTAAAAGAGTTAACTCTTTTAGCACAACGTTATGTGCAGAACGGATCTAAATAATCTGCATGCTAGCCCGACTCAAACGGTAGTCTGTAAAGGCTCATCAAACCCGTTGATGGCTGAGGATTTGCCAAAAATCCTATAAATATGCGAGTCATTGACGCATCAACTTTATGAGTTGGTCTCGTGACCTGAGCAACATACGACGTTCAAAACCCTAAGGTCTACACCGTTAACAGTTGGTCCTGCAGCCCCAACATTTGGGACCGCCATGCTCCAATACCTTAAGAGCTTAAACTGTGTATACTCCAGTAAACGTACGAGTATAAACTGTGTCAACGTTCGAAACCCTAGGGTCAACGCCGGTCAACGCGTAACCCTAGGTCAACGCCAGTCAACGCGTTGCGACAAAAAGTCAACATTCGACGTTCGAAACCATAGGGTCAACGCCGGTCAACGCGTAACCCTAGGTCAACGCCAGTCAACGCGTTACGACAAAAAGTCAACATTCGATGTTCGAAACCCTAGGGTCAACACCGGTCAACGCGTAACCCTAGGTCAACGCCAATCAACGCGTTGCGACCAAAAAGTCAACGTTCGACGTTCGAAACCCTAGGGTTAACGCCGGTCAACGCGTAACCCTAGGTCAACGCTAGTCAACGCGTTGCTACCAAAAAGTCAACGTTCGATGTTCGAAACCCTAGGGTTAACGCCGGTCAACGCGTAACCCTAGGTCAACGCCAGTCAACGCGTTGCGACCAAAAAGTTAACATTCGACGTTCGAAACCCTAGGGTCAACGCCGGTCAACGCGTAACCCTAGGTTAACGCCAGTCAACGCGTTGTGACCAAAAGTCAACATACGATGATCTGAAACCTTAAGTTAGCACAATATGACAGAGATGGTCAATTCAAAGTCAACTCAATGACACGAGCCAAACTCAACTCACTAGTGATAGACTCGAGATTCCGACGACGGCCAAGCGATAAACGCAGCGCCGGAAGAACTTCGGCTATTTGTCAAAGCATTGAATAGATCGAAAATCGAAGGAGCCAAGAGTTGAAGCTAACTACAGGTGGTCCCGACAGTTCATCGCCTTGTTCCGGAACCTTTTGACGAAGGTGTCGACTAACTCTCCGTCCTTCTACTTCTCATCGTGCAAAGATCCGATAGATACCTCTGTGTCGTCGTCGAAGAAATTGGCAAGGAACTTGGTCTCCATGTCGTCCCAGCAGGAGCCAAGAGTTGAAGCTAACTACAGGTCCTTTACGCCGACTGAAGGCTGGATCAATCACATCCAAAAGATTCCAGCCTCTTCTATAAAAGAAACGAGTCCGAAACGCTTTGGAGGGGGTATCTGTAGGCGTCGAAAATTGCCTATAGGTCTCTACGAACAGCTCAGTATTAAGGAATGACGATGAGCGTCACTATCCGGTTCACAGGAGTTCGATTGACGTCGGTGAACGCTTGAAGTGAATCGACGAACTACGTGAGCTGACAGAATTCCGGAATAACGAAGGTGCGGGCTAATCGGGAGCCCCGCAATGTTTACAAAGGGAATAATGCCCTTCGTGTCTCATTCATTCTACAGATAATCCAACCATTGGAACTGATAGAACTCCTTGTCGGCTTTCCAACGCATTTGGAATCACTCAAATCCGAGTTCAGACGGAGAAGTTACAGCGAAAACAGTCAAACGGGCATTGAAAACGTCTCAGAGCTGAACTGAGGCACCTACGGTGTCTCGGCCAAGCAGAGACACCCCAAGGGTGTCTCGGCCAAGCCCTCATGCCTATAAATACAAGCCTTAGGCCTCATTTTTTCAGATCTGGAACACCCCTAGGGTGTCTCAGCGCGGATTTGACCCCTTTAAGTGGTTTTAACCGCTCCGCAACCCCTCATGCCTATAAATACAAGCCTTAGGCCTCATTTTTTCAGAGCTGGAGTTTTGGAGAATTGGCGAAGTCCTGCCGGAGTGAAGAGTGATCGAGCACTTCAACGTAAGAGAGTTTCTTCGTCAGATCTACATCACCTGTACCCGATCCTTAGTATTATCCCGTTGTGGTAATACTAAGAAGAGCAAATATCTCGCTTTTATCGAGATAGGCACTTCAAGTTTCTAGATCTCCTCGCGGATCGACGAAGCTCTGGATCAGATCTGATTGCCAGGTAGTCCACGGATATCGACGTCCCCGTCACAGGCTAAAGACCCACGCAAACAAGAGACGACGAACGGATCTTGTGTTTATTTTTCAAGAAAGTTGTAATTTTTCTTTCTTTGTTGTTTGAATTCATTTGTAACGTTTGAAGTTTTAATGAAATCAATGATGAAGGCAACTTTCGACGAAAACAGTCGTCAGACACAGAGGTCTCCAGACGCAGAGGTCGCCAGACGCAGAGGTCACCAGACGCGAAGTTCGTCCCAAGCCCAGACGCAGAGGTCGCCAGACGTAGAGGTCACCAGACGCGGAGTTCGTCCCAAGCTCAGACGCGGAGGTCGCCAGACGCGAAGGTCGTCAGACGCAGAGTTCACCCGTGTTTTTCTCTCCAGAACGTGACCCTTGCGTTTTTGACGCTGGAACACTTTTCAAAACTGTCCCATCAAGGTATGGGCACAGTTAAGGGCATGTTATGAGGTACCTTACTCCATGATAACCCTATAAATAAGGTTGGATCTCCAGCAAGCCAGAGGCTGTGAAAAAAGGCTGGAAAAAAGAGGACAAAAGAAAGAAAAAAAGAGGCGGGGAAAAAAGAGGAGAAAAGGGGGATCAAAAGAGAGAAGAAAGAGAAGGAGAGAGGCCTCTTGGAGAGGATTCTTGGAGCTTTTCTTGGAGCTTTTTGGCTTGCTCTTTAAACCCATTTGGGTTAGTTTTCTTGGAGCTTCATCTTCTCTCTAAAATCAACCCTTCTTGGGGATTTAAACTCGGCTAGAGTTTCTCAACTCTCTCAGAGAGAGTTTCTAACTTGTTCAAATAAGTTTCTTTCAAACTCGCCTAGAGTTCTTAACTCTCTTACAGAGAGTTTCTCAACTTGCCTAGCAAGTCCCCCAAACTCGTGTAGAGTTCCAAACTTGTCTTGCAAGTTCTTGACACTCTCACAGAGAACTCTCAAAACTCGGCTAGAGTTATAAACTTGCCTCGCAAGTTCTCTCAAGACGTCAAGTCAAGGAGAGAAGACCAACACCCCACGAAGTTGAAGTGCTCGGATCGTCAACGAGATACAAGATTCAAACTCTCATCGCCACAAAGAAAGAACCCAGTTTTAAACAAATGGAGGGTTTTATCCTTCCCTCTTTTGTAAATCGGGGAACCGATAAAGAAAACTATAGTTTTTTTTCTAAGTCAGTTAGAGAGAAATTATATTGAGATGATTGTAATCATTCTTTTTCTAAGTCAGTTAGAGAGAATAATACATATTCAATTCTCGAGTTTCTCGTAATTTCCCGCGCGTACAGAGTATTTTAGATTTTATATGGGATTGTGAAATTTTCACGGGTGAATATATGTACTCACACATTAGGTATTGCAAAGGCTTAGTCAAGGTTCTAATACCATGAGCTTGGATTTATATCCACATCATCAAACATTATTTTTAGGTATATTCTTGTGACAATATTTGATTGATCGATCACGTTATAGATGTAACCAGTGTACTATCGCTCAATCAATCACTAAATGTAATTTTATTGTTCAAATGTGAATTTTTAGTTTGTGTCTATATGTTTGATCCATAGTTTACATTCAATAATTTTATATCAAATCTTTCACTAAATAAATTTATAAATTTAAAATAAATAATAAAAATTTTACCACGTGCATTGCACGGTGCAATCCAACTAGTTTTCCTAAAAAAAATATGGCCCACAGTGATCAAAAGAAGAGTTTTTCTCCGTCTACAGCGAAAGTAGGTTCCCCACAATAAACTGTCACATCATAATCCATCTTACCAATACCTAAACAAAATGACCTCTTAACATTGGGCCTGGATTTGAACCCAACAAACGGCCCATATGAATCCACGAGCAGATACTCTTACCACACGAGACGCTCCTTATCCAACACAAAACCATCCACAAAGCAAACTCCTCCACTCTTCACAAATTCACAGACACAAACCAACATGAACTCCCTCCAAATCTCCAACACTTTCCCCTCCGCTCTCAAGCCTCCTCCTCCACCACCACCAACCTTCACCAAATCCACCAAACTCTTCGCCCCTCGCTCTGCCCGGTCTCGCGACGACAAATCCGATACCAAACACCGTTACGGAAAAGAAACACACCACCGCCTTGCCACCATCCACGCTACCACCGCGACTCCGATCAGTCCTTCGAGAACAGGCTTTCCCACAGTGCCGGCCTAAAAGTACCGCATAGCGCGCACCAGGCCAAGAAAGGCTGAGAAGCAGCTAAGTCCAAGAAAACGGGAGCCGCCACGGGGTCCAAGAAGTCCGGAACGGTGATGCTACCTCCCGTTCCGTTAAGAGAACCAATGACGGTTAACGGTCTAAAGGTTGACCTGGGATTCACTCCCTACAGTGAAATGCTCAACGGGAGAGTAGCGATGCTGGGGTTGGCAGCGCTCGTGTTGGTCGAGCTTGGGTCAGGTAAAGGGCTGCTGAGCTATCACGCGCCGCCCGTCTTGTTCCTCCAGGTTTATACGGTGGCCGCGCTGTCTGCGATTTTTGTTAAGTTCGAGAAGGAGAGGATTAGCGTTTGGCCTGAGAAATCGCCGGTTGAGGTTGAGGAGGAGTCGACTGTAACCGCGGAGTAAGAAAATTGCAGGTTCCCTTCTTTTTCCAGGAGTGTTGACACTAGCTATTTGAATTCTGAAATCTTTGTAATTGTGCATGTCTGAGTTGTTTTTTTGGTATATAATGCAGTCATGAGTATTGATACATGCAAACTGAAAATGGTTTACACAGGCTTGATGCTCGTTATACCTGTCATTGCTGTGCCATTGTCAATTAACAAAATTTTCCAGGAAGAGGACCGAGACTGACATTTACCGTAATAAACAAAACTAATATTTTCAGAGTCAGAAATATCTATAGATGCAAGTCAATAAATACCCTAGGCACCCTGCAAAAAGATAGCCACTAAATGAAATGAAAAAGGAAAAAAAAAGAACTAGAAATTTACTCGGGTATCAAGTCATAACTTCGAACATGCTGATGATCTTCCCTAGTTTTTCTCTCCTCCTAATGCCTTCTTCATCAGTTTTCTCTTGAAGTTGAAAACATAACCCTTTGCCCTCTTTCCAAATGAGCCAGCAAGTTGCAAAGGTTGCACTTCATCCCTCTTATTTATGGAGACGCATTCAAACACCAAGAAATCTAACCTCTTCAATTGTCATCGGTCAGGGCGTAGGCTTGAACTCCATTTCAAAGTATATCGAAATTGAGAGGATGAGGTAGGCACTCAAAGAATAAGTGCTGCAAAATCCCATGCATAGTTTTATAAACGAAAACATTGATGCTCCTTTTTAGTACTCCGTCGAAGAGATATCACTTGCACAAATACCCAACAACAAATACAAAGCAGCACCGTATGATCGATTCAGGTCCAAATAAAACCTGAAGTATTCAGAAGTTTGCGTGCTAGGTCTTTCAAGTGGAAAGGGTCTCTCCTTCAAGCAGAGTAAATCGACTAACTCTACAGTGTTCGTTTTCAGATATTGACAACCTATATAGGAAATCTAAGCCTCTATGTGGCCAATTCTGCCCAGTTCAGAAGAAGAAATCATCGAGCAGTCCCTTGTCTCAGTTATAACTACCACCACCTTCAGTGAGACACTAGCAAACATAAAACAACTAACAGTCATAATATATGGGAGTATACTTTCTTCTTTTCACCTTGGTGTCGCTAAATTCGGGATCACAGCATTCTTTTTGACCAAGGAACCTCCCGCTTCTTCCCCCTCTCCTGCCTCTTCCCCCTTTTCCGCATCTTCCCCTATTTGATGAGGCTCCTCTTCCCCTATTTGATGTGTTAACTCGTGGACCAAGTCGCTTTTTGACGCTTCCTCTGAATGCTCTAGTGTTATCGTAAAATTCAGCGCCTAGGGTTTCCTTGCTGATTTCTCCTGAAAATGTTGGGTCACCATCTGAGGCATCTCCAAGTTGGCTTCTGATGTTTTTGTCAGAGATTCCCTCCTCAAGCAAGCTTTGCTGCAAACTAGGGCCATATAGAACATACCTTTGAGGAGCACTTTGTACACCATAGTATGGCTTGTTAGAAGATTCATCGTGTACTGTTTGAGGATAATTCCAAACATCACGACGTCTCTCACCAGCAACAGCAACAGCATTAGTTTGCTGAGCATCGTGATTGTCTTCTTCATTTTGTTGAGGATCAAAGTGCAGCCTTTTTTTATTAACATCCCTTTCTATAGTTGGAAATGGCATTGAGTACTGCAATACAACAGGATTGCTGATCTCATTGATCTCCTGGGCGTTATCGAGCATAGGGACATACATTACAGAGTCCGTGCTATGCAAATATCTTGGTGAAGACCTGAAGCTACAATAGTTAGTAGCATCATTCTGAATGGTATTAGTTGGCTCACGCTCAGTTCCCTGACGATCCACTGAAAATTGAGGAAGAACCGGTGAAACCCTAAACACAACCCTGCCTTCATGAGCTTGTGGCATTTGAAAATCAGGGTTATTCCTTACAGTGTGTTTTCCACTGGGGCTAACTTTCCTCATAATGTGGTCGTTCATTTGACTGCTTGAGGATACTATTTGTCCTTCACCAGTATTGAGGAGCTTCCTTTGAGATGAAGGCATAGAATCTATATGCTCCTGGAAGCTTTCGGGTAGGAGAAGTTCCTGATTATTAGGTAAAGTATCACCCGACATGTTCTCATCCTTTCTCACCCAAGTGTAATCAGATCTTTGCATGCCTGACTGATTAGCTCGCTTGCTGATTTTTGCATGTTTATGTGGCTGTTGACTAAGCTTGCCATCTCTGAAGTAACATATCAACCATATTACTTAAATACTAAAAAAGAGAAGGGGTTATTTGCACTTTGTTTACTCCAATTTTAACATTTATACACAAAAAAATTTGTTTGACCAAAAATTACCCCAAAAGTTTACCTCATTTTTAACTTTGACACACCATAGTTCAATAAAAATTATATTTGATACCCAAAATTCAATAAAAATTTAACCTTGATACCACAAACTTTAACAAAAAAAAAAAAAAAACCTTTGATACACCAAACTTACACAAAAAATTAACCAAAAAAAAGGTTGGGTATCAAACTTGAAGTTTGTTGAACTTTAGGGTATCGAAGTAAATAAATGAGGTAAACTTTGGGGTATGTAAGTGCAAATCACCCAATAAGAAAAGAAAATAAGCCGACAATATAACATTTACCTGAAGGATTTGTCAGAAACACTGTTCAACTTTATGATCTTACCACGAGTCTGAATACTAGACGAACATGAACTATTGGAAACAGTGTTCAACTTTATGATATGGCCATGATTTTGTTTTTCCTCTTCTTGAGAGGATGATTTATTAGAAACAGCGTTCAACCTTATGATCCTGCTACGTTTACAGGGACCTTCATGTCGGTTAGCTGAGTTCATTTTCCTGCCATCTTCATTCCTATGTTTCTTGGTCGCTTCAGAAGGTTCTTTGTTGAAGCTCGATTTTGTTTCCAAATTTCCCCAGCCCTGCTGCTTTATGTCACTTTCTTCAGTTTCTTTTATGATGTCTTCGTCAAGGCCAGAATTTGTATTGCCCTTTTCAGTTGCTTCAGTAGTATCTCTGCTGGAGCAAGATTGCGTTTCAGTAGCTTCCAAAGGCCTGCTTTTAGATGTTACTGATGCACGCCAAACCTCCTCCACCGTGCCTTTTTCAGTTGCTTCAGGAGTAACTTTGCTGAAGCCTGATTTTGTTTCAATAGCTTTTAGCGGCCTATTTTTCGTAGTAGTTATTGATGCTCTCCTACCCTCCTCTGTCTTGCCTTTGTCAGCTGCTGCAATGGTATCTTCGCTGGAGCCTGGTTTTCCTTCAGTAGATTTCAGTAGCCAGTTTTTGAAACTTATTGATGCACCTTGAAGCTCCTTTGTATTTCCTTTCTCAGTTGATCCAACAGTATCTTTGCTGAAGCTTGGTTTGGTTTCAGTAGCTTTGGGCTCATAAACGCGAGGCTTGTGCTCTAAAGTAGAAACGCAGAGCTCAGGGTCGCGTTTAGGCTCACGAATGCGAAGCTCGCGTTGGTTGGAGGGTCGGCTTTCTCGGAGTTGTGCCCGTCGCTGGGACCTTCTTCTTCGACGAGCAGCGTTCTTCTGGGCATGTTTTAAGGCTTTTGCAGCGGCATCATCATCCGTCATCGCGGCAATAGGTCTCTTGTGGCCCGATGTCTTTTGCTTAGACGTGGGCTTGTTGGGGCTTTCAACTCGGTTGACGAGTTTAGTTGGATTAAAGCCTTCTCCTTCAGCGGAAAGACTGTCTGAGCAGTCTAACCCGGGGGAGAGACTTTCCTTTGGTGAGTCGACCCTTTTTTTGAAAGTTATTGATGCAACCTGACGGTGCTTCGTACTGCTGTTTTCAGTTGCTTGAATAGAATCTCTGTCGAAGCCTGATTTTGTTTCAGTAGCTTTTAATGGCCTATTTTTGGAAGTCATTGATGCACCCTGACACTGCTTTCTATTGCCCTCTTCAGCTGACTCAATAGTAAGTTTGCTGACGCCTGATTTTGTTTCAGTAGCTTTCAACAGTTTATTTTCGGAAGTTATTGATGTGTCCCAACATTCCTTTGTGCCCTTGTCAGTTGCTTTGATAGTATTTCTGCTGAAGCCTGATTTTGTTTCAGTAGCTTTAGACGGCCAATTTCTCGAAGTTGTTGAAGTATTAAGAGATGAAGGTTGCACATTGTCTGACATGGTAACTTCTGATTTCCTCATCTCATCGCATCCTTCGAGCTTCTGAATCGATTCTAGCATTATGGTAGAGACACTCGTAAGAATGGAATTTTCATGTTTTGTGCCATGTAACTCAACTTCTTGCCTTCTTTCTCGAATTTCCCTCCCTTGATATTCAATTTCAGTATTATTCAACTCACCATAATCGTGATGAGAAGTACCCCACTCATCATTACGAGATACTTGTTCTATTATCTCTTTCCCAACCAGATGTTGAGAACTACCTGACTCATTTCCATAAAATGCCACGTCTACCTCATCAATAATGACTTTCTGTGAAGTAGAAGCATTGCCATTCATCACAGCAGCAGCTTTAAAATCATGCTCGGATAAAGCATCAATGATTGCAGGCCTATTACTTTGAGAAGCCTCCGATTCCAATCCATCAATGCCAGTGACATCCTTGGCGAAATTCAATCCTTTCTGCTCTGGCTTTATGAATTCTGCAATTAAAACTGAGTTTGCTGCGACATCTTTTGACAAGGAAGAGCTTTTTCCCAGTAGATTATCTTGATCTCTAGTATCAACACAGTGATTTGGAGAAATGAGTTCAGGTTCAACTCGTGTTAGGATTTCATTTTCTTCAAATGGCTTGCGTGAATCAGTAGGAGTTCGACAGCCATCATCACAATCAACAGGTAGAAAGTTCAAATCTATCACAAATCTATTGCAAGTTTTTTCGACCTCATTGCCACATGTACTCTCAAATTTGTTGTGAGTGTCTTTAACCTTATGATGCTCTTGCGATCGAACTAAAGTCCAGTCACCGGATCCTCCTTCAACTGCTTTAGAACTTAAATGCACAGGATTGGTCGAAGCCTCAGAGTCAAACCTTGGTGCTGTCTTCTCTTGAATTCCTTCACTACTTAATTCAGGTGTTATGCAATTGCCCACCAAGGAAAGACTTAAGTCAACCATTTCTTCATCGGTGTTTTTGTCATCAGGATCATTGAATAACCAATTAAAACTGGGTTGTGGCCCACAAGGTAGTTTAAGCTCCAAATCCAGGTCAATCTGAGACACATTTTGGCTGGTAGGAGGGGGCAGTTTTGCAAGATTGTCATTTTCTCGGGTAAGAAGTTCTGAAAGATCATCACTGCACCTTGGGACTGTTTTTCTTAGTCTTGCTCTTTGCAGTACTGGGTTCCACTCGTTATCGCCTTGTTCATCATGTGCATCAAATCGTTTATCTAGATCAGAGTTCATCTCATTGGTACAAAGTGAAGCTTGGTTGTCTTGTTTCAAAGAACTCGCTTCAGCAGATGCTGAAACTATTTAATGAATGGGAACATCGTCTTGTATAATTCCTAATTGCTGCTGACTTGAGTGCTCTGTTGCTGATTGCACTTAAAACTCTATCTTCACAGGGTCCAAATTGCGTGTTTTCCCCCCAAGTCCTATATGTTCACCAGAATTTGAAGCTATCTGAAGATCACTTTTTAACAATAAATTTGTCTAACCTAGGCTCCGAACATGAACTGATGGCAAGGACCTGTAGTTGTAGAAGACTGACGATGACGATTAGAAGAAGACGAATGCCCAACTCTGATGAATGCTGTGCTCTCTTGTTTCAGAGTCTTGAGGTGAGAAAGGGGTTGAGGTGAGAAAGGGGTTGAAGGCTGAAAAAAAGTAACTGGCCTTCTCTTGATGCTGTAATGGTGTAAGCGGATATTATGGAGCAAGATGAAAGCTGCAACCGAATTCTTATAGTTAAAAAATAACTTAAAGAAGTTACTCAGAAAGAATAACCTAAAGATATCAAAACTCAGGAAACCTGTGCAGAACACTGGTGGTTGTTTCTTATGAGAAATTAACACCAAATTGTTATCAGATTATGATTAATCAGTGTTCAATAACGGAATCACCCTCGACCAGCATTTCTTATTGAGCCCCAAACCCAAATTAATGCCAATATCAGACTATGATAAACGAATATTTCTTAGTTGGATTGTCTACGGCTTTGCTTCAATAGTGAAGAGACAACTTTCCTATTAAAAAAACATTCAATAATGAACAAACAAATCATAATCCTTAAAGCAAGCAATCGATAAGATATGCATCATATGACACAAATCATATTTGTATATGCTTACCAAGCACAAATACAAACAAAAACACGGTTTGGTAAGGAAAAAAAGTCAAACCATATTTATCAAATTAAAAAATATATAGGTTACATAAAAAATCTCAAATCAGAATCCATCAATTATTTTGACATACTAAAAAAAACCTAGTATTATATATCTGGACCACCAAAATCGATCCAAGGTCCATTTATCTATGGTCAAAAATATTCCAACTGTCTTATTCGATAAATAAATCCAGAATTTCAGATAAAAATCCAGATATTTTTATTTATAAAAGTATACATAGACTACACTGATAAAGAATTACAATTACAACACTCAGCCCTCACCTCAACTTTAGAGTTCGCCACAACTTTAAAGTTTTGGTATTGTGACAAGGACCCCTTGACTTGGTATCAAAGCAACCAAATTTTAAAATCTTACTTGCCATTAATTTAAAGCTGTTTTCAAAAACAAAAATGTTACTGCTACAATCTGTGGGGCATGTAGATTATAAAATAATAATCTTCAGACATCAACACAACTTCCCACTTATGGTAAAGTGTCATTGACCTTTGACATTGCCAAACACTAGATGGGGAAAAAATTCATATCCTAGAAAAAAGTTCCATACTTGTATCAAAATGGTATTGTATATAAATATTTAGTATCCATACATTCCGTGTTTTTTTGCATCCCTAAAATAATCATCCATAAATATTTCATCAAATATTTTTTTTTTTTTGGCAGAGGATCTCAAAAAAATCAAAACAAAAATAAAAACACCATCTTCTTCCTCAAACCCCAAAAGCAAAAATCTAGCTTAATAATCACGATCTCTACTAAACCAAACTAACTGTTCTTTTAGAGGGATCGCAAGAATCACGACAACAATGTGACGCATATATCTCTCTAAATCTCCACAAATTTCCAAAAAAAAGGCAACTTTACCACCCCCCCCCCCCCCCCCCCCCTAAAAAAAACCACCACAAAAACCGAACTTCGCAGATTAAAAAACCCTAAATGGAACAGCAGTTAGCAACAACAATGAACAATTTCTTATTAAAAAAATTACGAACGAAATTGAAACGGAAGCAAAAGTTACGCGGCCGAGCACGTGACGCGATCTCTGCAATCGGGAGGAGACGACGAACGATCAGGAAATAAAGAAGGAGAGTGAATTAACTTCCGAAGACGCCGACGGCTCAAACGGCTCGGCGATTTTGATAGCAGTTGAGGGCCGCACCGATGCCGACGTCTTATAGGAGCCTAATCAGATTTCGACACGTGTACGTGAGACTCTCTGTGAATCTTTCTGAAAATATTCAGTTTCGTCTTTTTTGGTAACGGATTGAATTCGATGCACGGATGTTTTCCGGTTTTGATGACGCAACGGAGCACTTTTATTATTTTGTAATTTGGTAAGTATTTAAAATGTAAACAGAGGAGAGTTGGTTTTGGGAGGCTTTTAATATTGGAAAAGGAGATACTCCGCCGAGAATTTGGGTTGGAGAAATTTTCACTGCAACCCCATTCTCATATTTAATCTCTAAAACCGACCTGTTTTAAAGTTATTTATGAGAATTGACTCACTTTAAGTTAATTACGGTACTAATTAGTAGGGGTAGCCAACCCCGACTAATTAGTAGTCTAATTAGCAGCCACAAACCTTCCTTGCTCCATGACCCCGCTTGTAATTAAGCTACTAATTAGTCGGGATACTAATTAGTCGAGGTTAGTAACCCCGACTAATTAGTATCGTAATTAACTCAAAGTGGATCGATTCTCATAAATAAATTTAAAGTATGTCGGTTTTAGGGATTAAATTTGGGATTGGGTCTACACCGAAAATTTCTTCAATTTGGGTTTTGTCAATCATAATTTTAGGAGTTGGGTTTTTTTTTTTTGGGGGGGGGG